TTAAATATATATATACAATTTACTTGATTTTTGTTTTGTTGAGAATATACACAGCAGAACATTTACCAATTCAACAATTTCTACATTTACAACTCAATTACACGGATTACATTTATTTAAGTTCTGAAATCAGTATCATTCTCCTTTTGTGAATTGTTCCCCTCTATTAACATAAAATCACTGTCCTCTAAGTTTCCCACCTAACCTTTTGAGCTCTTGTTGTCAACTTGATCCCATGCACATAGATTTTAAAAGAGTACAGTAATCAATGATGACATACTTTACTATTTAAGCTAAACTATTATTTGGTTTTAAGAAAATGTCACAGGGTGTTTACGGTTTAAGATTACCTCAGGACACTAGTTTTAGGAGTTTTTCTGGTCTCCATGACTCATCAATTATGAATTCCATGAGAATTTGAAATTCTGTTCTGTATTTCCTCTTTTAATTAGGATTCTTCTATAGAATATTTGATCAAAATGTTCAGTAATTAGCCACATATGAACGGGCTTCAAAAGTCATGGGAAAGTTGCATTATCTTTTAATTCCATTTGTCCATGAACTTCTGAAACCCCCCCCCCTTTTTTTTTCCATCATATTGTTGTTGTGTGTTGTTGGGTCAATTGTGACTCACAATGATCCTGTATAACAGAGTAGAACTACCCAATAGGGTTTCCTATGTAATCTTCATGGACGCAGACTGCCACATCTTTTTCCTTCAGAGCAGCTGGTAGGTTCCAATCATTGATCTTTTGGTTAGCATAACAGCATCTAACCATTGTGCCATTGTTGTTGTTGTAAAGTGCCATCGAGTCAGTGCCGACCCATAGCGACCCTGTATAGGGTTTACAATGAGCAGCTGGTGAGCTTGAACCGCCAACCTTCCAGCTCAAACTGACCTTGCAGTTCAGAGCATTAACCCACAGGGCCACAATTGTGCCATTAATGCTCCTCTTTTTAAAGTTTGCATATTGTGGAAAAAATGTTTTCAAGGTGATTTCATTTGTTTTTATTTGATTTAAAAAGGCATCATGATGACTGGGGGGCAGGCTTGCGGGGTATATCCTTTGGTTGGTTGATGATGCATGGAGGGAATTGTAACCATGGCAATGAAATGATATACAATAGGATGAATGTAAAGCTAATGTTCTCCCATGTAAACTATCACATAATTCACAATAAAACATTTAAAAAAAGGTATCATATTTAAAAACTCAACAAAAGCAATGGCAACTTTAGAACTCAGAGGTTTATTGAGTTTATACTCTTATTTGTTCCAAATCGTTTATATCAAAATATGAAATACTAAAACTCAAGTTACTATTTAGATACACATTCAAACAAACCTCATAGTTTCAGAGTATGAACAACAATTTCTAGTAATCCATTTTATTATAAGACTATGCAGTCTTTGAAAAAATAAGTGCAGTTATTACTGTAGATTATAAAAACAATCTTTTTCATTAATAATAATTTGAATAGGTCAAAACTCATAAAGTTTCAAAAATTGTGATATATTTGGTTGTTGATATTGGAACACATTTTTCACCAGTGAGGTGGGGAGTAGTATAGAAATTAGTTATCAGAATAGTACATGAACCTACTTGCCCCATGATACAATGAATATAATAGCCAGAGTTTCTGATTCTAGGACTATAGGAGAAAAAATAAGATGAAAGATAGAGGGTATTTTCTCCTTCCTAGACACAAGATCATTTTCCTAATCAAAATTTATTGTATGAATAACTTGTACAAATAACAGGAATCAGTCACATTGAAAATAGTATAATAAAGTTCCACCTCCCAAAACCCCATGGAATCAGTAGTCAAGAAAGCAAAATGACTTACTGCATTGGAAAATCTGCTGTAAATAATCTTTTTAAAGTGATAAAAAGCAAAGATTTCACCTTGAGGGCTAAGGTGCATCTAATCCAAGTCATGGTATTTTCAATCAACTCATATGCATGTGAAAACTGGACAAAACTGAAATAGAATTGTTTCTTTTGAATCATGGTGTTGGTGAAGACTGTTGACTATACCATGGATGGCCATAAGAATGAACAAATTTGTGTCAGGAGAAGTACAACCAAAATGTTCCTTTGAAGCTGGATGGTGAGATGTCATCTCACATACTTTTGACATGCTATTAAAGGAAACCAGTTAGTCCCTGGAGAGGGACATCATGCTTGGTAAACAGAAGGTCAGTATAAAAGAAGACCCTCAAAGAGATGGGTTGACACAGTGACAGGACCAATAGGCTCAAACAGCAATGACTGTAAGAAAGACATCACACATTGTTCTGAATGCCATGTTCTGTTTTACACAGGCTCTCCATGATTGGTAATTAGCTTGATAACACTTTATATCAACAGAAACGATCACTCCCCAATGATTCATTCCAGAGGCACCATAGTCTCCAGCAACAGCAATTGAGAGCTTTTTGTTGTTGTTATTGTTGTTGGTTATATGGCAGCACTTTAGAAAACAGAGATATTTTGTACTATGAAGAGTTTAGACAACCATAACTTACTCTGTGCTAAGATGAAAGAGGTGTTTATAGACCTAACATGCTGAAATATGTATTAAATTAACTAAACACTTCATGGAGTCCTGGTATAACACTGTAGGATAAGCCCTGGAACCCTAGCCACAAGGTCAGTGGTTCAAATCAACCAGTCAATCCTCAGAAACCCTATACTGGGTTGCTATGAGTTGAAACCGATTTGATGGCAATTAACAACAGCAACAACAAACTCTTCATGTTCCAGAGTTCCTTCTTCAAATGAATGTTGACAATGCAATAAGTATATTTAGAATAAAAACTCATTGTTGTTAAGTTCTGTCTAGTCAGTTCTGACTCATTGCGATCCTTAATAGGGTTTCCAAGAAGTGGCTGGTGGGTTTGAATTGCCGACCATGTGGTTCAAACTGACCTTTCAATCTAGTGCATTATCCTGCAGCATCACACCAGAACTCCAGAGTAAACATAGTTGACCTTTATATTGAATTCCTCCCAGAGTTAAAATACCAGTGTTTAAATTGGTTTTACCAATAATTTCTGGATCCAAAAATTATCAATTTAAGTAATTCAATTAGCTCCTAATTTTAAAAAGAAAAAAATAAATAAATTCAAAGGCTATTGTTTGCTTTTTTAAATATAAAATATTATTTGAATTGCATCACTTAGGAGGTTTCTGTTATATTTAAATAATGATGTGATCTTGGACTGTAATGATATCAACATATTATCAATAATAGGATTATATTTTTAAAATATTTTAAGCTAAGCTTTTTCAAATGTTTTAAGATTCTTATTTTCTATCTGTCCTTATTTGATTATAATTTTTATGATTTTTTAAACCAGAAGTGTCCATTCTTATGGTTTTATTATTTTAATGGTCATGGCTACGAGACAATAATTTATGTAAAATCATCACTTCTTAGTATCATTTTTTTCCCAACTGAAAATTCTTGCAATAACAAACATTATCTGTGTCTTCCTTTTTTGACTCTCAGGGAGCAGTGATGGCTGCCATTCAGCTGCTGTCCAGCCAGTGTTACCTTCAGAGTGGCAGTGGAAAGAAAATGCTTTCTGAGTGCAGAAGGCCAACAGAAAGGATAGTGGGAGAACCTTCTAATGAGAAGGGGGAAAATATGCTCTGGTGTTCAATGGCAGACTTAAAATAGTTATGTTGTTGTTTGGGAGAAAGATTATGCTTTCTGCTCTTGCAAAGATTTAATGACTCAGAAACTGTAAACAGGATCACTATAAGACAGGAACCTACTTGACAGTACTTAATAACAACAATGTTGTTTTTGTTTTCAAGTGCTGCTGAGTCCATTCCAACTCATAACAAGCCTGTATAGGGTTTCTAAGGAACAACTGGAGGGTTTGAACTGCTGACTTGTGGTTTC